CTGGAATTTCTAAAAGGGTGGGTCTCAATTCTAGTTTTTCTAGGATGGGCAGTAGGAATTCCTAGAGCTAGATCCTAGGATCCTAGAAAAAGAAATGTCCTAAAAAATGAGGTCAACAAGATGCAGACGATATGTATACATTATTAACGAGATAAAAATTCAGCATTTATGTATGCATTTATTCTCTTGAATGCACAACACTTATCTTAGAATGGCAATGAAAATACACTGGAAGTATACATCAATAGTATATTAACTATGAATCATTTAGTGGAGGTTGATACTTCTAGCAAACTAGAGGACAACATGATCTTTATTCGAAAGTAATGGTATAAGAATGATTGACGGGGTTTATTTTTGAAAAAAAGGGTCCGCGTTGAAGAAAATTGATGGCTTATCTGATTTTCCTTCTATAATTTCATCTTTTTTGAAAAGAAGATTTTCATACATGCCACTCAATTCCAATGTATTTACATATCTAACACCTAATATTCAATTTATGCATACATGCTACCTTACCTATGCATGAAACTGTGCATTTCACTTTTTAAAAATTAAAAATTTGGTATTTTTGATATGATTTGAAAGATATGGGTCTTATAAATATAAAAAAAAGTAAAAGTTTAGTGTTAGATATGTAAATACATAGGAATCCGGTGGTATGTACGTAAATGGCCCTTTCTAAATTTTCAGATAGGGCTGTGAATTTAGCTCGAAGATCGTTAATCGCTCGAAAATTGACTCGAATTTTGGCTCTGTTTGAGATCGGATTGAAATTAACGAGCTGAGCAACGAGTCAAAATTTTGGATTAAATTTTTTTTAGCAGACCTCTGCTCGGCTCGAAATCGGATCGTTAACAATTCTAGTGATGTTAGGCTACTAAAGAAGTTTCTAGACCTCAACCAAAAGTGAGGTCAACAAGATCGTTAATCACTCAAAATTTGATTTGAATTTTTGCTTGAAGCGAGATTAGATCGAAATAAACGAGCTGAGCTACGAGCCAAAATTTTGGATTGACTTATTTTCGCGCCGATTTCGAGCCGTCCTTGGCTCGGCTCGAAATCGGATCGTTATCGTCTCTAATTCCAGGTGATTGACCTTTTTGTGCGCTGGGAATGCTTTCATGGGAAAAATCAACATTGTTCATGTGCTTTGGTTGGATGTGTGGGCGAGAAACGAAACCTATTTGTTGTTGAGGGTATTTAAATTTTGAATTAAATTTTTGTGGTGGCTTGATGTGGTGAAGGTTCTTGGCTTGGATTGTAGAGAACTTTATTTTGGTTTTAAATTTGAATTGTAGATTGTGTAATTTTTTTAGGCGATGAAATGGAGATTTTTTATTTCTATGGAGGGCATTGGAGGAGAGTGAAGGGGGCCAAATATGATAGGAGAACTGTTAAAATTGGAATTATTATTTACCTGAACAATAATTTTACTATTGAAAACGAGCAAAAAAATGACTGGAATTGAATTTAAATCGTCTTCTAATGCTCAAAGAATGGTCCTCTTGTATGAAAAGAGGAAAAATAGAGAATTCGTTGAGGAAATATGTAGAAAATTGACAATGATGCCATGATACCGGATGATTGCGCAAATCACAATAAGAAGGTAAATATAAATTTGAATAGGGTTATAACGACGACTCCTCAACATAAATAATACAAACATGCAAATGGAAAGGACAACGACGATGCTGCAAAAATACAAAAAGAAACAACAAAAAACACTTAAATGACCCTCTGACAAATCCGGGAGGGCAGGAGGCGTGGCGGTGGACCGGACAACCACCAAAAAATGAGTGTTGTGGACTGGAAAGCGGTTGGAGGGTGCTTTGGGTGGACTGGACAGCCATTGGAATGTGCTGGAGATGCTGGACGACAACACGGAGGAACCTGGTGGCTGGAAAAGGACTGCGGCTGTTGGAAAGTGGCGGGAAAGGAGATGCAGTGGCCTGGGACAGCAGCAGGAAGGTGGCCGCTGATTGGAAGGCAGCAGGAACCGGTGTATGAGGGCTGGACAGTAGCTGGAACAGGTGTTGGCTGCTGGGCAGCAACAAGAACAGACCCTGGAATGGCTGACGACAGCAAGAGCTGGTCTGGAAGGATCTTGGAGGCAGCAAGAGCGCGCCTGGAGAGCTGGACGATGGCTGGGAGATGGCCGGTGGTTGCTACGAGGAGGGGGCCGGTGTGATCTTTGGTCAGCGGGAAGCAACAAGGTAGGCCGGCAGTGGAAAGGAAGGTGCTGGAAGTAGATGGCATTAAGGAGGATGGTTTGTGGTTGCTAGAAGTGAGGCTGAAGGGGCTGCGGAAGGATTAATGTCTCGTTTGGGTCGAGCTACAGCCGAAGCACCACCCGGACCCTTGGAAACAGTTACCAACTCGGACGAGTTATGACCAACTGCACCTTCTCGTCGTCGGGTACAACCTCTAGAAGAGGAGAACGCTTCAAAGGCAGCACACATACATTTACACTCATCCAAATCTATCCTCTCCTTAGCAAACAACATTTATAAATAAGAGGGGTTTAGTAGATAGATTGGGCAAGTAGAAGAATAGATAAGAAATAAAGGAGGGGTGATGAGAAACAAACGAATTTGAAATTAGGATAGAAGTGGAAGGTGGTAGATAAGGTAGACAATGAATAGGAACGAGACTCGTTATGAAAGAGAGTGAATATGAGAGAGGAGGAAGCTAAAAAGGAAAGAAGGGCATGTGGTTATTGTAGCAGCTACAATATCACGTCTGCGATAAGCTCTCGCGTCATGCCATGGGCATAAAATCAACAAAAAATTTTAGCTATAATGTCAATTTATTGCAGGACAACCATTGAAGTATAAAAAAGAAAAAATATAGAAAATGAAAATCGGATAAAATTAAGAAAATAATAAGTGAACCAAACACATAAAAAGTTCTTTGGTTGAACAAGGAGATTACCTTTACCATAAGAGACTTAGGCGGGACATACAATCAATGATAAAAATTCAGGGAAAAAACAAAGAAGGTTGATGTAGGATGTCTTTGGTTCTAGGGATTCACTAATGGAAATCTTGGATGAATTGCACAAAAAAAGTGTTGAAATATCAAAATTCACAAATTTTCAACTTTAAGTGAAGCAAAGATTAGTCTCTTTTGATGTAAGATAAAAAAAAAAATGTTTGGTACATTCGAAATGATGATATAAAAGTCATCAACATCTAAAATTCTACTTGAAATCTGAGAATGAATACCAAAAATCCATGGTATTTTCATATCATAGTAAATAATACTTTTATGTAACGAGCTTGACTAAACCTCAATCACGCTTATAAATCTATTTAGATGAAAGAAAAAAGGATATATAATTTAAAGATCAACCCTCATGCTGGTAGAAAGAAAAGCATCCCCAAAAGTTATTGCCGTAACTTGTCTTACATGCCTTATTTGTAATAGCGATTGTATTCATCCATTACTTGTCTTACATACCTACTACATCTATTTATAGTGACTGTAAATGGAAAATAAATTGTGAATAAATTGCCAATAACTTTTAATGCACACGATCTTGTAAAAAATTGAGGACTCAAATATCTTCTACAACAACGACAACAAACCTTTACCACTAAGGGGGGTTGGCTTCATGAATTCTTTTTCTCCATTGCATCTTATTGAGTATCTATTTTCATTCTAATAAATGAAGATCATTTTTTATCAATACGCCTAAGTCTTTTTGGGTCTACCTCTACCTTTCTTAATTTAAGTTGAATCTAAAGCATCTACGCTCCTAACTGGATCATTAGATGGTCAACGTTTAATATGACGAAACCATCAAAGACGACTCAAATATCTTATGATGAAATAAAAATTTATAATTTAGCCCAAGTCATGCTAGTGTCTATCTTCCCATTATCCACCATTCTTTTTTATTCATGCTGTTCCTTCTGTCAAATTTAGTTGCACCCCGTTGAATCTGCATTATTTCTTAACATTCTGGCACAGCTAATAATGTTATAATAAATTTTCTCCTTTGAAATGTTCGTGCAATTTTGCTTTTACAATTTTCTTTTGCTCTTCTAATTAACCGCAATTTTGCTACGAATATAGGTTGTGGATGCAAAAAACATACAATTGCAACTTAAGGAATACAGTGATTCAGCTTCATTTCCTGAAGCATTTTTTCAAATTGCATTTGCGGTATCTTTCTCCATCATCCTTGTAAAATTTTGACATTACTGTTGTGAATTTTGAGTTTGTGACTCAGCTTTCCTGCTTTGTTTTTGTTTTTTTGTTTTGGAAAATTTACATATCTACATATCTAACACCCAAAGTTTGATATTTACACTTATGGCACCATGGTATTATAACATGAACAATTGTATTTCACTTTAAAAAGACTGTAAAGTTAAGTATTTTTGATGTGATGTTAAAGATTTTGGTCATACTTAAGTAAATATGAATGTTTAGGTGTTAAATATGTAAATACATAAGAAATATGTGGTATTAATGCAAATGCCCAATTTTTTTCCAGTAATCTCTAGCATTTGAAAACTGTTACTGTGATCACGGTTTTTAAAATATTTTGCTGACAATTAATTTTTGTCTGCAGGATGTTGTGATTCTAAATAAAATTGACTTGATCCTTCAAGAAAATAGATGCGGCGATTCGATCACAGAGAGTTTGGAGGATATAGAAAAAAGGATTCACAGCATTAACTCCCTTGCTACCATTCTTCAAACTGTTCGTTGCCAAGTCGATTTACACGAGATATTGGATCGAAAGGCCTATGGTGCTAATGTTAGCGAACATGTTCAATCTATGGAAGTCCTATTATACTTTTTGTAGAGTCACAGCTAATCATTTGGATTTTCCCCATTATCAGCATTTGGCTCATTTGGAAGCTCTTTTGGAAGATAGTAAAACAGCTCCCGTTGGCAGCCGCCACGACTATAGTGTACGAACCTTTTGCATTTTTGAGGAGCTGCCTGTTGATTTAGACAAGGTATTTATTTGTGGTATCCTGTAATTTTCTGGAAGTTGTTCTCTCTTCTTAGGCTCATATTGCCACATAGTTCCCATCTTAATATATGAATCTCTCATATGCCCTGCATGTGAAATTAAGGTTTTGTTTGGGGCAACTGTAGGTTTTTATAAAGGTGGCTTCAAAGTAGTGGTGAGAATTAGAAATTTTTATTTTTTTCCAAAGAATAAACACTTTCCTTACGACCACTGCATTTAACATATATGGTTGCAAAAGCAACTTCCCACCATTAAAAATTTTAGAAGTAGACAGAAAGTAGCTCTATAATAACTCCTACGAGAAATACTAGACCTCATGAAAATTCAGGTCAACATGTAGCAAAAGGTTGTCCCAAATAGACCTTGAGAGTCTGGTATTTTGATGAACATTCATGAGTTTATGGTTGATAAAATTATCGAGCGAAGAAATGATTTAGACAATGCTTTAGTTTAGTTTTTATTATTTTTCAGTTTAATTTGCAATTTTCAATTTTATTTATTTATAGGCATAAAGAATGCAAATTTTATTGTGATCAATACTCTTTGATCTGCAAATTCTTACTTTTTTTAAGTCATCTATATTTATTGCATCATGCTAATTGCATTAGAAATCTTAAACTCTTATGCATCATGCATCAATTTTGTATCGAAGCTTTTGGTTTTGTCAATTACGTAAAAGAAAAACCAACTATGAGGGTTATTTGTTGATTGACCAGGGGATTAAATTTGTTATTACAATCAATTGGTGCAACTATTAAATAAATAAAAGAAAATGTGTGATGGCATAAGTTTGATTAAAACATAAATTGAGAATTTGCAAACTAATCAAGTCAATGCAGATGAACTCAAAGCGATTCCAATCATTATGGTGAACCAACTCAACTTATTTTAAATAATGGTAACGGCAGGGAAATAATGAATGTACATTATACGATGTTTGCTTTAGCATCAATGAGAAGTGGAACTTGATGACCTACTTAGGAATTATTTGATGAGTTCAGATACAGAACAAGCAGAATTGCTATTATGATGAATGCAAATGCAGATTGGTATGATGAGAATATTATTTTATGTTAAGTAGAAGAGGAGAAGAAAATACCTGTAGTTTCTTTTCATTATTTTGAGTGCCACTAGAGGATGTTTTGTGTTGCAGTTAACTTCGATTGCTTTACTCAAGTCTTCAGGGAGGATAAATCAGAAAAGTGTTAAAATAGTCCTTTGACTCTTTATAGGGCGTCATTTTAGTCCCAACGTTTATAAAAATGTCAATTTAAGCCTATTCTCTTTTAATATGAGCTGAAATAGTCCCTGCGAAGGGCTGTTTCAACACTAATTTAAAGAATTTGGGAACTAATTTGTCATTTTTATATTCTTTGGGATTAAAATGATCCCATGTAAGCAATCAGGAAGCTATTTTGACACTTTATTTGTCAATAAATACTTGTTAGACATTTTTGGATTTATGTAATTAATCTTATCAATAAATTTAAGGAGCATTTACATACCACCGAGTTCCGATATATTTATATATCTAATACCTAAACTTTACTTTGTACATTTATATCACCCAAAATTTTCTTATCACATCAAAAATACTATCACTTTAACTTTTAAAAGGTAAAATACATATTTTCATGCAGAGGTAAGGTGGCATGTTTGTAAAAATTGAATATAAGTGTCAGATATGTAAGTACACAAGTCTATCATCACAAAAATTTGGTGATCTTTTAGCAGTTTGATGTATGTTGAATCCAAATTTGTCATCACAAAAATTTGGTGATCTTTTAGCAGTTTGACAGGTAGCCAAAAGACAGTTTTTGTGATGATAGACAAATTGAATATAAGCCAGTTTTGGTGACCCAAATTTTTCTTATATTCAATTTGGTGATCATATGTAAGTACAAAAGTCTTTTAGCAGTTTGATGTATGTTGATGTAAGTACAAAAGTCTATCATCATATAAATTACACCAAAGAATTGAACGTGAAGCGGGAGGGAGGGCACAATAATGAACAGTAGAATGAGGGAATTGTGTAACATTTTATTCATGAAATGAACCTTTATTTATAGAAAATGAGGGTGTAATAGGTGAAGTTATATTTATGTGCCTACTGGAGTGGGGACTAAACAGATTATTCTAGGTATTTCACTCTTGCGGGCCCCGAGCATTGTTGCTCTCGAGCTCAGCCGGTTAGGTTTCGTGGGACTTTGCCTAGCTTTGACGCTCGACTGGGTTTAGTTGTCACTGTTGATCGATTAGGTTTCGTGGGACTTTGCCTAGCTTTGACGCTCGGCTAGGTTTAGTTGTCACTAAAGAAGAGTGTATTTTATATTTTGAAATAGATTTTAACAATTCTTTTTTAATTGTCCACAAGAATATACTGATATTCGGCCCTTGCTCTCATCGAAGAACTCCCACTGGCAGAGCAAAGCTAGGTTGTCGTGCAGAGGATGGATCATCGTAATCTGACAGGTAGCCTACTCTTACACAAAGAGATCTTGGGAAAGGTTGTTCGTTGTCCCAACCCAAGTGTGGACATATGATATGAGGGATTGGTCCCTTCTTCAAGCTTAGTTGCATCAAAGTGTTAGGTACGGGTGTCGTTTGTCTTGTGGGTGAGCCACTCAACATGTGTCATATACTCATCCTTATAACAATTGATTTTGAGGCACTCAGCTCACTCTTTGATATTCCTTCTGTCCCTTGGTTGGACCATTGGATCTCCTCGATATTCATACTGACATAATATCTGTGTACACAATATCTTCTTCTTTGTCTACAATTCCAAATCACAATGAGGAGACTTACTTTGGAAAACTTCAATATTTTCTCTCCTTAACTAATTATTTATGACATAATATCTGTGTACACAATATCTTCTTCTTTATCTAAAATTCCAAATCACAATGACGAGACTTACTTTGGAAAACTTCAATTCTTTCTCTCCTTAACTAATTATTTCTGTGGCTTATGCTTTTTTTATTTATTTGAATTACATTTCCACTTGTTAAGAGTAATTTAATTTATGTTTGAACAGGTGCGGCTATGGCTGGAAGATCTTCTTTGGGAGAAGAAATCTCATATGGATGTGTATCGCTGTAAAGGAATTCTAAATATCCATGGTTCGGATCAACTTCATACTTTACAGGTTTTGCAATTTTACCTTTGTCGAAGTATTTGAAAGATAGTTATGCTTTGCTTCACTTGTGCCGTGTTAAGAGTTCTATCTGCCATTTTATTATGTTTGAGTAGAAGAGTGCTTGCAATTTCGTAATTTGTTGAAGGGTTTATAGTAACTGTGTCTGTTTTGTTCGCCAAAAATTTAAATAGGTCTCATTTTGTAAATGTCTGAGTTAGAGTTTTGTACACTTTTATAAGAATGCAAATGCAACACTTGAAAGAGAACATGTATGTGCAAAAATAGGTTTCTGTAAACGTGTCAATTGACATTTGGAAAATTTAAAAAGTTTATGATTTTGATATTTTTGAAATTCAGAAAGGTAATAATTTTAATATTAAAACTAGATACATGAGAATCAGAGAAAAAGCATTAAGTGAAGGGCGCCATAAGAACAAAAAAATATTGCGTTCAGAGCCCGAATGCAAAGCTAAATACCGGACAGAGCGGAGGAGTAAAAAAAAAACTGCCCTCGGTGTATATGACCGGACGCAGTTTGCATCCGGACTTCGGATGCAAAATTTTCTCCAAAGACCCCCTTTTTGGCTAAATGTTCTTCTCATTAATATATTTTTGAACGTTTTAATGGCGTAATGGAAAGGTGCCTCAGTCTAAATTTCTAAAAATTTGATGAAAATGTAATATTATTTATGATGTTATTGCAATGTTTATTTCTCAATTGTCCATTATAAGACTCGTGCCTCATCTCGATAGGCGGTGAGAGAAATATACGAGGTTGTTCCGGCGCGGCGATGGCTTGAGACCGAGCAAAAGACGAGCAAGATTGTGTTCATAGGCATGCCTCAGAACTTTGAATCAGTAAAATTTTTTTTTCATTATAATTCAACTTATATTCATGAATCTACTTGACCCGAATATGTCTGCAGGTCGCCATCTGGATGAGACTGTTCTGAGGAACTCTTTCAGATCCTGCATATTATAATGAAGCAGGCAGTCCTTAATATTCAGGCAACTATGGACTCTCAGTTAGCTAATCAAGGCATGTAAGGATCTCTTATAAAACTTGCTATGAAATTTAAAAAAAAAAAGATTTTGACATGAGTATTATAAATGATTCTGAGGCACATTAGATATGACTGGGGGCTCGAATAATAGCCTCTCGTCATTCCTTAATAATAATAATAATAATAATCTACATTTTCAGTTATTGTAGATTTTCTCGTTAGGGACAGAACTAGGTTATGTCTAGGATGGTCAATTGCCCCCCTCTGAATTTGTAATTTTTCTATATAAATAGTAAAATTTAATATCTTTCTTATGTATTTTAGGCATATTAGTAATTTTGCACCCCCTCTTTATTTTTTTTGCACAATACTTAAAAAAAAAATTAAATATTTTGGTGATTTTGCCCACCTTACAAATATTGCTGGTTCCACTTATAAAATGATCTTGAGCATAGGGCTTTGCATACATGTTGTGCATGTTTTTGCAATTAAGGGTCCGTTTGGCGCAACAATCTAAACTTTGCTATTTACATACAACAATCAAATTTTTAATAACACATAAAAAATACTACTATTAGCACTTTTTAAAAGTGAAATATATATTTTCATGCATAAATTTAATGCACCAAAGTATCATGTATGCATTTCCTTTATCATGAACTTTCAAAAGATGAATATATATGTTCGTGCATGTGCAGCACGGTATTTATATAAAAATTAGAGTTCAGGTGGTGGATATGTAAATAGTAAGAATTGTGTGGCAATATATGTAAATCTTACATGCCCTGCTTAAGTGCTACTAAAAGGGGGTATTTCCATACATGCCACGCAATTCTTTTGTATTTCAATGTGTAAGCTTTGCTTATTTATAGCACCTAAATCTTTTATATGACATAAAGGTATAATTATTATTGTAACTTTGAAATCATATATTTTCATGTATAAATAAATAAGGTGGTACTACTTTAACAAAATATATTTTTTTATTATAAAAAATGAATTAAACAATCTTTATTAAATTTTTACTATTATTTATTATTAGATGATATTACATGATACTATGCTTATAAAGTTGGGAATATACAAAATTGATATAATCGGTCATTTAAAAATAGAAGACATGATATTGACCTTTTTTTAATTAGAAAAATTACTTACTAATTATGTGTATGGCTTAAAATCGACTAAAAAAAAATTAATCCAAAATTTTGGCTCATTGCTCCGCTCGTTTATTTTAATTCGATCTAGACCCGAGCTAAAATTAGAATCAACTTTCAAGCGATTAATGATCTTCATGCTAAATTCAAAGCCCCATGTTATGCAAAATCTTAATAATCTTACATATAATGTCATATATTGATTATGATTGTTAGACTTTAACAGCAAATCATAATTACATTTTGTAAATTATGTGAGTTTGAATTCTTAAATATTTCGAACGAGGTTCTTAAATTTAATTAATATTTTATTTCAAATTATGATTATTAATAATTATATATTTACTGAACTAATTCATTTTTATTAATTATTAAATAGTTTTTTAACATTTATAAAATAATAACTAACTTTTATTAATTATATGAATTAATAATTACTCATAGACGTCTTGAATGAATAAAAATATATAGTATTTATTTATTCTTATTTAATAATTAAATAATAAGTATAAATTTATTTAATTATTTATACTCTGATAATATTTTAATTATTTTTTTACTTATTAATCAATTAAATCTATAAAATTAACTTAAATAAAATAAAAAACCTCGCGCCAACGATACCCTCGCAACCCTCCCTTCTCTCTCTGTTTCGTCCAAAACCATCACCTTCGTCACCGAAACCCTCGTGATACTGTCGCAGCTGGAGCTACCTGGGAACTCAACGACCGGGTCGCGGCTTACAGAGACCATAAACTCCCAATTTTCTCCTCCTACCGCTCCTCCCCCGCCCGAAACCATTAAGGAAGGTAACTTTACGTCTTTTTTTTTTTTGGCGCGAAGCGTCCGTCTCGGATTACTAAATCCACCGATTCACGGGATTTAAGGCCGAATCGGTGAAATCCGGATTTATCAAAGACGAGGATTAATTTCGTCAATAATGGCCGTCTGTCAAGTTTTAGGTTAAATCCAGCTTAAGTCCTGCAGGTTCATTGTTCTTTGAGTGGTGTTTTGGGAAAAGTAGTGGTTATGCCGTCACAGATGAGTTTGGGGTTTCAAATCAGGTTTGCGGGGTCGGTTTGAGTCTGACCCAAAACTGACCCGACCGAAATATTAAACATGTCAGAAAGTTCAACCTGTACCCGACCTGTTCTCAATCCATTGACCCATACCCGACTTATATGACGCGCTTAACATAGTGCATAACAATTATTCCTGTCAAATTCGGGTCAATTTTTGGGTTAATAGATCAGTTAGGGGTCAACCCGAACCGAACCCGACTTGAAAATTATTCGGCCAATCTGAACCTAGGTTTTTTTAGTTGAGTTCGGGTAAAGTTGTCGTGCTAGGTCAATTTTGAACACCTTCAATGGTGTAATTTTCATCACCTAGTTCTTACTGCTTCCTGTGTTTATTCAAGCTTAGGGTATGCTAACCTTGTAGTGCTATTTTTTTTTTTTAAATATATATTCTGGTTATTTATTATAGCAATTAATCACATAAACTTCTATGTCTGGCATGCTTTAAAGCTTATTGTAATATTGATTAAGTGAGTTCTAATAGAATTTTTTTTAGTGTGATGAATATCAATTATAGTTTGGTTTCATTTATATTTTGGTTGATAAACTACATGGATGTTATAGGTTTAGATGCTCAAATTTCTATTGATGGATAAATCTTATTGAAGGTTATTGTATGTTTGATTAATTATAAATATAAATTACTTGAAAATGTAAATACTTTTGTGCCCCTTGAATGTTGCAGAAATTTCTTGTGCCAGGTGAAGCGAGCAATGTTGGATAGTTGTGAAAATGTTATGGGGACTCCTCCCCCTTCCATGCTAAATAATTCCAGCATTAGAGGCCCTAAATCCAGCATTTCACCATTGTTTTCTTCTCCATCGAGGTTGTGGAGACCAGAGGCTCAGAGAAACGTAAGAAATCAATGGTCTAAGCTCCTCTCGAGCAAGAACCAGTGGGAGTCAGCTGCTCTGGAGGGGAGATTACATGCCACAGAACTTGTTAATGCCTTCCTTAATCGAAGGCATGCCAGTTTTTTGTTGGAATTATCCTATTAAAGTTGGGCCGCTTACGTACATAGCACACAATTGTTATGTATTTACATGTCCTCTCACCTAAACTTTCATGTTTTAACACATGGGACTCAAATCATTAATATCACATAAAAAATAGCATTTTTATCATTTTTTAAATGTGAAATACACCTTTTTCATGCATATGTTCTAAAGAACCAAAGTTTTGTATATGCAGCAATGGAAATCTAGGTGTGAGATATATAAATACTAAGAATTTTGTGCTATGTATGTAAATTTCTCATTAAAGTTTGGTACTGTTTTATGAGCTTGACCTGAGCTAGTTTTTTTTTTGTTTTTGTTTGAATTGCTTTTAGGTACTTGCCAGAGATGAATTTGGGTGCTCTTAAGGAGATTCAAGGAATTAGAGAGAAAGCTTGTAAGAAGTTGGCTCATAAGCAGGCAATCTCTGCTAAACCTTTTTTTTTTTTTGACTCTTCATCCATCTTTTATTTGTTAGTCTGTGAAGCTTCTTTTTTTTTTCATAAGATTACTTTTCTTTTTTCTTCTTTCCTGATTCTTTTGCTTTTTATTTTCAATGGTAAATTCCATTTTCTTCCAGGATTTGTGCCGAAGCAAGCTTTTATCTTCCTACAAGGACATGGTATGCAATAGTTTGCTAGTTTTTGGTTTTGAATTTTATGTTATGAAATAAATGTATGTTGTATGCTCTCTTTTGTTTATGTTTATTCATACTTATAAAAATAAAAGATGTTCTTAGCCATATTGCTTGAAGTATTGATATCTGAAGTAAAGAGAAAAAAATGAATTTTGAAATGATTGTGATCATTGCATATGTTTGTACTAAATGATCATTGCTATAAATGATACTCCTTTATTAGAAAATAACTAATGACATTATAATCTTTTAGCAATTTTGACTAGGATGGATTCTACAAACTTTGGAAAGAAATTACAGTTGATGAAGTACATATTCTAGGAGATTATGAAAGATAAGAACCAGAACTTATAAGATCCATGAAATAATTCCAAAATTCTTTTCTTTAATTGTGCCTATCAACCCATATTATCCACAAATCAATACTTAGATTGTGTACAACTGGTTTAGCTAACTTTTCCCTCGAGCCATAGAGCAGATGTTCCCCATGCCCAATTTGGAGATGATCTTTTGGAATGCGGAGCAAAAATATTTTTGATTAGGATGCCAACGAGTTGCTTGTGTCATTGGATTATGAGGTGTATTAATGCTACTTTATAATTTTTTTCTTGATAAAATGTTGATCAATTTCAAAACATTTTGTTCATTCATCTGGACTGGGTTGCATGCAATGCTATTAGTTGAGTTGTAGTTCATCATATAACTTCTTGGTATCTCCACGCTTTATTTTCATGTCATTTAGGATGCTTCTCAACCCTATTAATGCATTGATTACCTTGGCCTTGGCTTCAACATTAAATGTAGATACAATTGATTGTTTCTTAATTGTGTCATTTGATTTCCTCTTAGGAAGTTTCAGTAGCTTGTAGTTAAATTCTTTTTGTTTGTGAGACATCCTACCTAGTAAGCCTTTGTGTAAACTTCTAAGCTAAGTTATCCATTTGTTCGATTCATTTTTTTCGGGTTTGATTTGAGATATTGGAGGGTATGGGTTGCCTATAAATGAACTTCTTTGGCGGCATGCTTGAATTTGCTTACAATCCTCAAATGCTACATCTGAGATCTGACCATGTATTGGCATGGTAAATAAACTTCCCAATAGTTGTTTCGTTTTGAATTGTTTGTGTTTGGACATGACCAAAAAAAAAGGGGGTGTTTACATAACTACCGCCCAATTCCTTTGTATTAATATATAAACCACCAAAACTTCAATTTTTACATACAAACCACCCGATTCCTATGTTTTTGGCATAAGCCAGGGTGGTCTGTAGGAAAAAATTTAAGTTTAGGTGATTGCTATGTTAATACATAGGAATTGGGTGGTAGGTAGTAAATCTCCCACAAAAAATCCCTGCCCTCCTTTTGTATTTATGAAGATAAATCTTGTTTTTTTGTTTTACATTCAACATATTACATACTTTGAGTTTTCTTCATGGCTTCCCTATAATTTTCAATATATGATTCATTCAGTCATTTTTTTAGCTTTTTTTACATCGTAAAGCATGCAATGAATCCCCGTAAATGCTTTCTTCTGATTGTGCTTCTCCCTCAGGTAATTGCTGTTAATAATTTGGGTAAAGCATCGTGCTCAATGAGATGTTATCTGAAAGGGTCAGCTTCCAACCAAATTCTAAAATATTCTGATCACCAAGAGGATCCTAATGACTCTGGCGATGGCGGCGGAGTTCCTGTTTTTTTTTCACTTTCGATGTCAACCTTAGGTATTGCTTGCGGAAACTTTTTTATGAATAGGGGGCATTTACATCCATACCACCCTATTTCTATGTATTTACATATCTAACTCCTAAACTTTACTTCTTACATTCATACCATCTAAATCTTTCATATCAGAAGGTGGTTGGCATGCAAAAAATTGAACTTTTTAGGTGTTAAAATATGCTAGGAATTCAGTGGTATGTTTGTAAATCTTCCTTTTGAGTAATATTCACATGTTTTATAGTGAAATTGTAGAAATGCATTATTTATTAGCGACCCCTGCTAATTTGTGGAGCTATACTATGTGAGGAAGGTTCCTATTGGTTTGAATCTTTTTTGTTATCATTTAAATAATTCTGTTTCCTTACTGCATACTTATGTATTTGAAATTAAAATGGGTTAATGATGTTGAAAATAAATTGCAGAGGATCTGGCACGTGAACTTGTCAATTATTTCATGAGGGAACTTAGCTTGAAGGTATTGATTCTTTTCTTATGAATTTCCTCTTAAACAATCTGTGAGAAATTGGTCTTTAACTCTCAACCTAAGTAAAAAATTGGGAAGATTTACATACGTACCACTTAATTCCTGTGCATTTACGTATCGAACACCTAAAGTTCAATTTTTAAATATCCGCCACTTTACCTATGCATGAAATGGTGCATTGCATTATTTAGAAGTTAAAATTGGTACTTTTCATTCGATATGAACAATTTGGATGTCATAATTATAAAAAAAACAAAGTTTAGGTGATTGATATGTAAATAGATAGGAATTGTGTTGTATTTATGTAAATGCCCCTAGACATTGTTGGCTTTACCAAATGTACTTCTTTACCTTTTCTAATGTAATTATTTGCAATGAACAGCGTTTTCTTGTAATCGCTCTTCTATCCATCGAGAGCACGGAAGGAGGGGAAGAAGATGTATTAGATTGGGCAGATGAGCTTTATGACGGAGAATTTGATGACTTGAGATCCATTGGAATGCTTAAACAACATAATTGTCATTTAGCACCCCCGCAAATCAAGGATTATCAATCAAGTGATCCTTTAAACAAGATAACTATAAAGTCTTCAAACCATAATTCCTTAGAGGTAAAATGTTCCAGTACCTAAAAAGTCTGAAGTTCTATTATCTTTTGTTTCTTGGTTTTGATGTTCTCATGATTTATGTTTTTCTTAGTTTCATGCATGCAGAAGATTTTAACCTTTTAGGAAGATTTACATACATAAAACTCCATTTTTATGTATTTATCTATCTAACACCAATTTTTACATACATGCCATCTTACCTGTGCATGGAAATGTGTATTTCATCTTTTAAAAGTGAAAATGCTGGCTTTTTTTTTTATGTGATATGAAAGATTTGGGTGGTAAAATTGTAAAAGTATCTAAATGCCGACAAGCTTTATTCTTTTCTTAAAGATCAACATAACTACGTCTTCTATTTTGACAATATTGCGTTTCTTGCAGGACATTTTTTCCCCATTTTCTTTCTAAAATTTCTGAATTAAAATGATATTTCGACTATGCATTGTGTAGTGACAAGGCTGTATAATTTGCAGGAAAATTTACGTGCATACCGCTCTTGTATTTACATATCTAACACTTAAAACTTTAATTTTTACATACATGCCACCTAACCTAAGTTCCTCCATAGTTGTTCCCCAGGAGGTTTTTTTTTTCTCTCTTTTTTTTTTAACACTAACTTTCCCTATTGATAGGAATTTTTCTTAAGATTAGAGCCAGGGCTTCTTAAGATTACAGCTAGGGTTTCATAAAGAAAATATAAAATGATTTGGATTAATCTTTCCTTTGCACATCGGTAAAAAATGTTCTCTTTTTTTTGGAGAGAAAATTAATTGAGTAGCATGTATCTGACATTTTGATACCTTCCGATTTCCCATAAAATGGTGATGATGCGTGAGTGAATGGCTTTCCCGGTCACATAGGCAACATTTTCTGTATGATCTATTACATATGTCACAATTGTCTTGTGCTTGACTCGTCGCATTAGGGTTAATTTGGACCAAGTCAACTCCTCCTCGGTTCCATCTCAGTAATAACTTGAAATGAATGCCTGGAAACAGCCAATCTTCTTCCTTATCACTCAACTTAGGAAGTGAAACGAGCGGAACTATCCCTATATGAAGGCCTTAGAATAGGGATTTCTCATGAAATTAGCTAGTCCTTGTTCGAGAAGAGTTGTGAGTTTCAACTAGGGCTGCCAAAACGGCTTGTTGTTCACGAATAGCTCATGTTGTTTCTTCTTTTTGCTCGATATATAAATGATTCTTACATGCACAAGAATTTATCTGTTCATATTCGGCTCGTTTTGGCTCAAAATATTACTCATCAATTTTATATATATATATATTAATGATAAGTAGTATTTTTAAAAAAAATTAATTGACTACAAGGCTACAAAGACTTATAATCAATTAAAAGTATTAATTAAGAAAATAAAATAAAAATTATTATATTAGATTTAAATGATGTTTTAATATAAATAATAATTTTTAAATCTTGCCCCAACCCTAACATCTTATGGCTACGTGTTTAGGGTTGTCAAAATGATTCTTTGTTCGTAAACAGCTCAGCTCACTTGTGTTCGGCTCATTTAAACAATACTATTATAACTTTTACGGACGTAGGAGTTCGGGTGGTTTCTTGGGCTTCTATGGGTACTTCTAGATTCAGAGGTGCCCATAACTTTCCTAAAAAAATAGCTAATAATGACATTCTTACTCATAACTTTTACTCAAGCTTGAATGAAGGCATCAAGATCTTGGATTTAGTTATTATAACTTTTACGGACGTAGGAGTTCGGGTGGTTTCTTGGGCTTCTATGGGTACTTCTAGATTCAGAGGTGCCCATAACTTTCCTCCAAAAATAGCTAATAATGACATATTCTTACACTTGAAACCCTCATCCCCCTCTTCAATTTGAGTAGTAAAGTTCGGCTCGCTGCTATGGTATCACTTTTGCTACAATACCATGGTTTGCTTCTACAGTTTGGTAATTATGTTTGGAGCATTTAGATACGTTCCACACGATACAATTCTTATGTTTTTACATATTTTACGCCCAAACTTTAATTTTTTATATTTATGACCCTCAAATCTTCCATATCAAATCAAAATTTCCTGTATCTGTAACTTTTAAAAAAGGAACATCTTTTCGACATAGGTATGGTAGTATAAAATTAAAAATCAATGTTTAGGCGTCATATATGTAAATAAATAGGAATTGTGTGGTATGTATGTAAATCTTCGACAATGTAGTGGCCTGCTGTAGTGTCAAATTGAGGCAATTAGGGAGTGCAGGTGAGATTTGGGGAATTTTGGACTGTTTTCAGTGTTAGAATAGCAAATTTTTTAATCGGCAATTTAGAAGTAGTAGTAATTTTATATGCACATCACTCTAATGCCATGGATGATGAATCCATGCATGGCCATGAATGATGAATCCATGCATGAAAAGATATACTCATTTTTAGAAAGTTAGTAGTAGTTGTATTTTTTATATGATATTAAAGATTGGAGTTTTATTTATTTAAATATTAATGTTTAGGTATTGGATATGTAATTACGTAAGAATTGTATGATATGTATGTAAATGCCCTAGGAACGATACAATTCTAGCATGATGCTATTAATTTGTAAATATCAATGTTTCGGATGATCTGCATGCAATTATGCTTATCCCCTTTATAGGGCAATTACACATACCCACCTGAAACATGCTATTTACAAATTAACCCCTCTTTCATCCATTTTTGAATTTCTCACTCAAATATCAAAATTCATGAAACAACCCCAACCGTTATTTTTCATTCTGATCAAATTCTCAATAATTTGATCATTGCATATGTAAATATCAATGTTTCGCGTGGTCTGTATGTAACTATCCCTTACATTAATCATTTATGATAGGATCATACATTTGTGATTTTGTAAGATCATTCAAATATTCATTCATAAATCTTCATTAATGTAATACAAAGCAAATATATACTTATAACCTTCCCTCTTACTCCAATTTATTCATCTAATTTTTTCTTGCAGGTGTTCCTAACCACATGGATTTCTGATGCGAATATCGATGTGCATAGGTAAGTTCACTTGTTTCTTCGCTGTGTTAGTTATTTATTTATATGGCTGTTGCTGCGATCCTCTGATCTAAAAATTGAGGATTTATTAGGGATCATTTTAATTTTTGGGTGTTTGCATACATACCACCCAATTTCTATGTATTTACATATCTAACACCTAAATTTTACTTTTTTTTACATTTATGCCGTCCAAATCTTTCGCATCAAATAAAAAATATCACGATTTTAGCTTTTATAATCTTTTTCATGCATGAGTAAAGTGGTATAAGGTAAGGTGGGATATATTTAAAAATTAAAGTTTTGGTGTTAGATATGTGAATACATAAGAATTGAGGGGTATCTTTGTAAATACTCCATTTATTTTATTTTATTTTGTTTATGTTTTTTATTTAAAACAAAATATATTTTTGAAGACACTCCAAATATTTAGGAGTTATTGTCTTTTTTTTTAAAATAATATATTAAAATATTAGAATAAAAAAGATATAGCAATAATAAAAAAAATAAAAATGATACCAAAGGCTAAAATGTAATTATAGAATTGCTTGTTATCTCATCTCTTTCTTGCTTGATGATCTTGATCTTGTTTAACGGCTGTGATCTAATCTTTCATGCGTTGCAGGGTCAAGAAAATATTTTCAATTGTTGAAGAGGAAATGCATGCCAAGCTTTTATGATAAGTATCATGCATCTCATATGATATTTCAAGGTGATTTTTTTTAGATCATTTAATCGGTATATATTTCTTTTTTTTTTCCTAATTTTCTATTGGTTAGAAATAATAAAGCTTTTTTTTTCAAAATTTAAAATTGTGTATATATTTATGTATTTATTTACATGTTGAGGGCTTGTTTGAGGTACGGGTGTAAACGAGTCGAGCCGAATTCGAGTCATGAATAATTTGAGCTAGTCTCGTTATGAGTTTGAGCTCGAGTTGAGCTCAAATAACAAGCTTGAATGAAGGCATCAAGATCTTGGATTTAGTTGTTAAATATATAAATAGTGGTATGTATGTAAATCTTTTTTTTTCAAATTTTAAATGCAGTATGATAGGAATACAAAATGGCAAATAATTATAATAATGACGTAATAATAGAAATTTATATATTTATTTCCTGAAATTCAGTCAGTGGCATCCTTCTCTGGTTTATATTGAAGTTGAGGGCAAACATTATATTATGTTATGCAAAAAATTATATATATATATACATATATATCTTTGATAATTTTGAAAAATAATATAAAAACTATATTTATAATATTTACATAGCATACGATCAGGGCTGTCAAAAAAGCTCGTTGTTCGCGAACAGTTTATGTTTAGTTCGTCAATGAGTTCGTGTTCGATTTGTTCGATAAGTAGATGGGACAAGCGTAAATAAAATTTTTTTTTGTTCGGTTAGTTAAATAATCAAACATGAACAGTGATGTGTTTGTTCGTGTTCGAATCATTATTGTTCGAAATATAAAATAATTTAAAATAATTATATA